ATTCTGCTTGAAATATTTATGTTTTAGTTAACTTTACATGTTTTGAAGTTTATTATTGAGAATGTTTAATGAGAATTATATTCAATTTTTAATGTATTATTTAGTTTATGTAATTAATTTTAATATACTACATTATTATATATTTCTTGTTAATTTTATCATTAATTAATAATATTCTTCTACTTATGTCGGTTTATCTCGTGTCTTTATGGGGTTTCTCTTCCTCCAGGTCCGGACCATCTATCCTTGGAGCTGTCCATTAATTGCATGTATGGCTTATGACCCACTCCCTCCCTGTTATATAATAATGCACTTTTGGCACCTTTAATTATGTACATTTATGGACCCCTAACATTGATAAAATGATTTTAAAAAAGTTTTCTAGCTTATAGTTTATTCGTGTGACAGTAAGTAAGCTTATAAAAACAAATTTATATATCACTAATACCATTAAAAAAGTTTACATAGACAATGCCTTGGCCCCATCTCTCCCCATTGTATACAATGATGTACTTTTTGTGATTCCCTCCTCTTAAATTGTATGCATAATTAATGAATAACCCCTTCACAATATGTCAAGAAATGCCATCATATAAATGAATGACACCTTGTAAATTTATGTATCAAAATATTATTATATTCTTAAATATAATTAATATTGAAAAAATGTCAAATATATTTGTTTAATTTTAGCATAATTTAGTTAAATACAACTATAGTTACCTTTACAGCCTTAAGTGCTCCGTCAGTAATCTTCACTGAAAACTGATAGATTCGAATTGATGAGTGATGCTTTAACAGATTCCTGCCAATAGATTGACAGCAGAGTTTACCTTTTTTCAGAAATACTTGGATTTAAAAAATTAACTGTTATTAAAATAAAAGTAATGAGAATTTTAATACTTCTATAGACTGAATTCTTTTTACAGAATCTGTCTGTAAAAAGAATTCAGTCTGTTAAAATCTAGAATCTGTTAAAGTATAATTGTAAAAAGAATAATGATTTAACAGATTCTGTTGCTAGATTGGCAGATATTACAGTTATTTTGTTTAAAGAGGTCATCTAAGAGCTATGTTAATTAATTATTACTGAACTGTAAATGGGTGCCAGTTTTAATCAATACTTTGGATATTGTATTAAAACTTTAAGATTTAAAATATCAATTATACATGTAAAGAATAATATGATAAGAGGAAAGAAATGTCATCAATAATAATTTTTTTCTTTAAATTACGTTGTTATTTTCTGTAAATGAAGCTTTTTTTTTTTTTTTTTTGAGGATCTATGTAAGCAAAAGCACTGTATTATATTGATATAAATGTCATTTTTGGAACTTATTTTATCTTATCATCAGAATTATAAAAAAATTAAACAATCTTAATGTTATACAGAGTGACCACAAAGTCATGCACACTTTGAAACAGTATAACAGAAAAGATAATACAGTTTACTGCAATAGAAGAACAACTCAAACAGTTTTTGGGATTAAGTGACAGAGGGTATCACAAGCCATCCAAAATGAAAATTGCGACATTACAGGGGAAAAGGCACAGTGTGAGCTGTGGCTGTCTGAAACAAAATCATTGGTTACTGTTCAGAGACAATAGGATAATACATGAGAGATTATGGAAAGGCTCCTCCACACATTAACTCCATTAAGAGATGAATGTGGAATTTTAAGGATACAGGGTTGGTTGCTCAGTGGCAACTGTCTGTGTTATCTGAAACTGTATGTCAGCCCTGTATCTCTGGAAAATCAAGTTGATATGCATTATTAGAATTGCGCTGTTAAAAGTCAACTATATTGAAAATTCTATACAAATAACTAAGTTGCATGTGTACAAGGTACAAACTGTTCAAGTCGTTCAGCCAAATGATAAACCATAACTAATCGCTCCATTTGATTACCTTTATAATTGTTTCCAAGGTCTTTGATCTTCTCTTTCTTTTTTATAATTTGATTTATGAATTCATACAGTTTCATTTATTCATGTATTGATGAGGACAGTCAATACCTAACTAAAGTCTGTTTCTCTAATGAAGCAACTTTTCACCTGAGTGGCAAAATCAGCTGATACAACATTTGAATATGGGATTTGAAAATCCTTATATGGTACATGAACACATTCATGACAACCCAAAGGTAAATTTATGGTGTGGATTGCTTTACAGCTCCTGATTTGCAGAAAACAGTCAATGCAAATGTTTATTTGGGTTTGTTCAATTTCTTTGGCTTTCCACAGCTTCAGAAATTGCAATCATATGTCATATCCCAGCATTGTGATGCCCCTTATCATTGGTGTTTGGATGTTTGTACAAAGATGAAGTAAACTTTCCCAAAAAAATGGTTAGGTAGAACTGAGCTTATTCCATGGCCTCTCTAATCACTGGGCATAAACTCTAGATTTTTTATGGGGTTATGTTAAAGATTGTGTCTATACCTGGGTTCTCAAAATGGTCAATATCAACCCCTGGGAATTAGTAAAACATTTCCAGGAGTTGATTGGTAGTCTATTAAAAACAGTTCATTTAGTCTAATGGGTTAAGTATAAGGCAGTTCAGAATGTAAATTTTTACAATAAATAATTTTTTACTAAGAAAATGGTTTATGTATTAATAAAGTTTCCCCAGATTTATTTATTTATTATTAACTGTATTAACAAAACAGTAAAATAAAATACGAAATAAGAAGGTTGGTAAAAGGTTGAGGAATCCTCGAAGGGGTTGGCAGTCAAAATATTTTAGGGGCTCCTGGTCTATGCAATACCAATCACAAATTTAGTTATTCAGAAAATAAAAATCACTGATGCTATCCAACTGTAACTACAGACATGCTCAATAATCTGGTACGAGATTGAATTGCAGTTGGATATGTTGCAAGCTTCTAATGGTGCTCATGTAGAGTTGTATTGAAACATGAAAAAATATCATATGAGTTGTTATTCTATTGCCATAAACTGTATTATATTAGGTCAATTACCTTTTTCTTTTGTATTCTTTCAAAATGTGTGTAGGACTTTATGACAATCCTATATATTAATATAGATATAACTTTAATAAATTGGATATTAATCTACAAAAAATTTCAACATTAAGTTTTGAATTTATTATTATTTTTTATAAGTATAAAAAATAAGCATAAAGTACTGTAAATAACAAAAATGCATGAAATTCATTACCTTATTTTTTTAAGAGGAGGAAAAAAACAGATGATCTAAGCTCTTAATTTAACAGATGTATCATTAATATTAAAGAAAATTAATTGAAAGGAAGTTAAGTGTGTAAACAGATAAGAAAAATAAATGAAGAGGATCTGATTGAAGATTTTAAATTCTTTAAATCAGTTACAATTACAATTATGTGTAATAAGAATTTCTAAAAACTAATCAAATTATAATTTAATAATTATCTTGGGATTTAATCCAATTTGTAGCATTCAAAATTTCTAAATTAAGTGAATTAATTGGGCTAGCAATTATTTATGTATTTATTTTTTAATAACTGAAAAATAGAAATGATTTTATCAATTACCATAATGTACTGACTGGTTACAACATGGCACTGACTGGGTAACCAGTATACTTATATATGTAAAATTAATAGTTCTGGAAGCAAAGATTGGATGGAGGTCCAGGGGTAGTGATTACCATAATTTTGTGAAGATAACCTATAGCCACATGTACCTTGCAGAAAATGACTAGAACAGAAATGAAATCTTTGCAAAACCTGCATCACTATATCCCATGCCACCAGATGGTCATTTGAGGGCTTGACACTTACTGGTATACAGTTTAGATGCCATCCCAAACATTACAATATCATCTCAAACATTAAAACGTTGCTTTTTCTGTTTCACTTCTATTCACAGTTCTTTCTAGATGTAATAATAAAATAAGTGAAATGGATAAACAATACTGAAATGAAAAAACAAAATGTCATCAAAGGCCAACATTTTTTATTGCATCCCTTCAATTCTCTTTTATTTATCAAATAATAATAATAATAATGTAAATGTTAAATAAACTTGAAAAAATTTAAATATCAATAGCATTCATTGACATAGGTTTAAAAGTTGATCATTCAACTAAACAGAACTTTCTAAATAGTTCTCTGAGAGTTATTATGTAGAAAGGAAAAAATTATTGGAAACTACCAGCTTTTAAGATAGAAGTTCAAGCAGAAAAAATCTAACAATATAAATTAAAGTGTGGATTGATGCATAGAAAATGAACAGGGAGAATTAAAGATGAGGCCTGTGTTTTAAGATTTCAGGAAAATAACAGATGAATTCATATAAAGGATTTTTACATTTTCTAAGGATGTTTTCAATAAGTTTAGACCTAAGAAAAACTTTTTGTGATTTTGCAATTAAGAGTTAAAATCGGAAGATATTCTGCACCATTGTATAACTACTTTCATATTGGTTTTTAAACATAATTCACAAATTGTTTGCAAAATTATGGTAATAATTTTTAATAACTTAATAATTAGAATATTCTGACATATTGTTGCAGTCAGTATTATATTATTTGGTAAAGCATGCTACAGTTAGCATGTTGATAAACTGTTATAACGACAAGTTTCCAGACAAATGCATCCCATTGTAAAGAAAGGGAAGCCTAGCTTGTTGCAATGACAAGGATAGTAACTAGGCAAATGTGAAATGAACCCTTGATAAGCAAGAAATTATAAGATCCTGTATAATTTAGTAGTAAAGTTTATTAAAACTGATATTTTTTTATATTTACTATGATATCCTTATATGCATTAGAAAGATATTTGAAGTACATAAATATCATTGTATTGTTAAATCAGTAGAAACATTTAATAAATATCATTATTAAAAATTGCTAATTATATTTACGTAAATTAGGTTTTATCATTTATAAGTTTAGAAATGTTTCATGAATAAAAAATGTCTTAGTGTTATAAGAAATTAAATATTTATTTAATGATTAATGATAATTAAAAATCTTCATGATCTTTAACATTCAATTAGATATGTTATTACTGAACTCATGCAAAGTGATCTCCATAAAATCATTATTTCTCCACAACCCCTTACTACTGACCACATCAAAGTCTTTCTTTATCAGATACTCAGAGGTAAAAAAATTTACTTTACTTTTAGTTATTTCTAAATTATTATTTGTTTTAAAATAAAAACTTAACTTTACTATGGATGTATATGGCATGGTCTGTAACTCTGTTAACCAAGATGGTTAACCGAGTTACTCGGATCAAGACAAATGAAAACTTGTAGCAATTTATTAGAATGGCATAAATTCTTCATTGAACATAGAGGATTTTATTTGGAACAGTTTCTTTTAACTTGTCTAGTAGAAACTACAATAAAATGCTGACTGACTTTTAAGATTTTTGGTCCACCCTATATATTAGACAAACAGAAATTGTTGCTATCTGTAAGCAAATGAAGTTATATCATTTAAAATGTACTAAATTATTTTAATAAAAATATAAATAAATTGAAAATATGAGTTTGGCAATCTTAAATTTATAAAATTTCATTATTATTATTATTTTTTTATTTTAAGTGCCTTCTTATTTGTCCAGTTGCACACTGGACAAATAACGTGGGCACTTAAATTAATTTATAATTTTGGAAGTTTGAAAGTTTTTATTTTTGCTGTTTTAAAGTTCAATACAACTTAATCTTACTAAGAAATAAACAGAATTAATTATAAATAGATATGAGTGGTAATAGTTTATTATTTATCAATATTACTCTTCTATCATGCAGCATTTGGTTTTTGGTTTCTCTCATTGCCATAATTTTATATATGTTTCCAATAGGATATATTGAATAAACATAAAAATTGCATAATATTTTCCGTATTTTGTGTTTTTCATATATCAAATTGATGTCGGTAAACATCACTTTATTGAAATAGCTTTAAAGTTTCAATATTAATGTCTATTTTATCAAATTTGTTACAGGCCTCAAATACCTTCATTCGACACATATCTTGCATCGAGATATCAAACCTGGTAATCTGTTAGTCAATAGTAACTGTGTACTCAAGGTTAGTGATTGTTTCATTTATTTTATTTTATATTTATCTATACATAACATATTTTACATTTATTTTAAATAATTATTTTATATACAATAAAATTGATTTTATAAATAATAAACATCTAGTTCCTGTGCATGTTTTTCAATCTTGTCAATATAATTAAATATCTATATGGAGGATTTTTCAAATTATAATTCAACTAAACTTAGCCCAATAGCCCAAAAAATCCAGCATTTTGTTATTTTATTATTAAATATATGGGCATTTATGTTGGAAACATCGATTATAACTCAAAGAAGCAATTAAAACAAGGCATATGTAATATTACACCCCATTTAATTTACTTTTACCATTATAGTTTCATTTTATTTATTTCAGATACTAAGACACTGTTTCTTTTCATAACTTTGTTTCAAACATGTGAAAATATACTAAAAATACTGGTATTATAATCAGCCAATAAATTTATATATGTTAAAAATAAGAAAGGGAATAACATTTGTACAAAATCTATGTTATAATATACTAATTAAAGGCAATTATACAGATGTACATAAATGTAGATGTATATTTAAATTGTAATTTTCTACTTTAATAAAAATAATTCTTGTAATTATAATTTTATTTGATATCTTTCCAATAAGGCTACTATATTTAGTTGATGTGGATGATGATGACTTTATTCAACATTGTTTGTAATATAATAGCAAGTTTGATTATAAACGACCAAAGTACGGTACATAGTCTTTCAGTTTTCATCCATATATAGAGTCTTTTGCTTGTTTTAATTTAAATTTAATAGTATCAGTAAAAATAATTTCAGTTTTGTAACCAATTTTTCATCATTTTTTATTAATTAAGATGATTAAAATAAAAAAATTTTAGAACAAATGATTATTTTTTTTCAATAGAAATTCATCTCCATACATAGAAAACAAATATGTTCTGTTTAAAATGTAAAAAAAAAAGATTAATAATGGCAGTAAATAAAAAACATTTGTTTATAATAAATAGAACTTTTTTCAGGTCAAATTTAATTGACAAATGTTTTTGACATTCATCTATAATATTTATCAACATAAACTAATTACAGTATGTCCTTGATTATCAAGGATATATATCAAAGAATGTTTGTAATGGTGGCATATTTAATTTTACAGAGCACTAATACAGAATATTTAAATTTTAATGAATATAAATACCTGAAATTAAATGTCAATAAATACTTTTAACCACATACTTTACAATGATTAAAAGAGAAAATTATTTTTAAGAAATAGTTTTCTGACCTAGTATTTTTTTCAAATTAGATATGTGACTTTGGCTTAGCCCGTGTTGAAGAGCCAGATGAGAGCAAACATATGACCCAAGAAGTTGTCACTCAATACTATCGTGCTCCGGAATTACTCATGGGTGCCCACCACTACACATCTGCCGTTGATATCTGGTCTGTTGGATGCATATTTGCTGAACTACTTGGAAGACGAATACTGTTTCAAGCACAAACACCCATCCAGCAGGTAATATATTTCATCATAAACTCCATAATTTTATTATCAATTTTTATTACAAAAATTAAGTTATAAAAAATGTTTATTTATTATATTAGCTGGAACTCATCACAGATCTTCTGGGCACTCCCTCACTGGAAGATATGAAGTTGGCTTGCGAAGGAGCCCGTGCCCACATGACTCACCGACCACATAAACCTCCATCGCTTGCTGCTCTATATACTCTCTCTTCACAAGCGACACATGAGGCTGTACATCTGTTATGTCAGATGCTAGTTTTTAATCCAGTAAATTATATTTATAATCGAATACATATATTCAATAAAGAGCCTAGCCGGATAAGCTTGTGAAAAATGGCCCAAACCGAATTGATCTTTTATATGATATATCATTTTCCTTGGCATCAGACTATATCATAATAATTTTTAAATCCTTAATCCTTTTTATCTTATTGAAACTGGGGAAAACATGATTAATTTTTCATTATCTTGTGTTTTCTAATTATCATTTTACATCTGAAAAAATATCTTTTAGATTTTTCATTACAAAATTCAAATTTAAAAAATAAATAAGTAAAATTTAACATACATTTTTCTGATAGAAAATATGGAAGTACTGTTTCCATTTTTGTTTGTTTTTTTTTCTTGTTTTTCTTTTCTATAAATGTTTTCAAGGGGTGAAAAAGAGATTTTTTTTAAAGATGTGGACAATAGTTTAAAAAAATTAAAAACTAATTTTTAAAATTAATAATCAAAACTTTATTTGTTGCCAAATTGTATTAAAAATTGTTGCAGAATTGTTTTGTAATTATTCAATCTTTTTTCTATTTTATAACTATTTCTGCCTTGTGAGTGCTAAGAGACCTTTGTTGACCTGGCTCTCAGTTTGGCTAGGCCAACATTGGAATGGTCAGGTAATGAGAATGTTAGCCTGGCCAAGGATGGAGATAAACATATTCAGAATGGACTACCCTAAAACATTCTTTGGAGTTTTTGACTGCTTGTATTTGGTTCCAGATTCCCATAGTGGTAGGCTTACGTCAACCATCTAGCCATCCACTGTTGTTTGAATGTACAGGTATTCATAATTTCAAACTCTTCTTCAGATAATCTTTTTTTATCAAATGACTAAAGCAGCAATGATTTCCTGGAGGCATAAATATTCTGTTTATAAACAAGTGATTGTTGATGGGCATCAAATATTATATTTAGTTGAATAATCCAGGAATGAAACAATTTTTAGAACTTGAAACAAATCTTGAAAAATGGCATTTCTACATATTTACTTTGTGGATTTTAAAAATTCTCTTTTAAAACAAATAACAAATCGTCTACTTTTAAAGAAGCAGATATTCCTTTTGAAAACATTGGCAGTTCCTGAATGTAAGAAATAGAAGGAATATTCATCTTTTATATCCTTAGGACTTATTGCTTCACTCAATTTCCTTCATCCATTTTCAAATATGCCATCTTATGATGTTTAATTTATTACATATCTCCTGCAGCTATTTCTCTTAAAAGTTTATAATAATTTCTGCTTTTCCTGTAATTTCTGTAACTGTTTCCTTTGTTCAACTTACATATTACATTTATTGCATTTACAATGATTTGCATTTGTTTTCAGACATCTGAAATCATAAAAAGTTACTATAGATAGAGCATAAAGCATACCTTTTACGTTTCACTTTCTGATACAAATGAAAAAATTATAATAATAAGTGTGGTAAGTTGATTCCTATTTCCATATAACATTAAAGATTATCTAAAATAATAATTCTTTCCATATAAAATACAATGTAATAATATTAAGCTTTAGTAATGCTTAATAAGTTTAAAACAAGAATGAAAATTATTATTTTTTGATTTTTTTTCAATGTGAATTCCTTTTCAAAATATAAACAGATTTTTATACATGCAAATTTTTGACTGAAATACAAAAAAGTCCTGAAGTCATTTCTAATATGGTTTGGTGACAAAATAAAATTTTGATTATAAAAAAAATTGGTTTTTAATTTCTTTTTTTAACTACTCTGCATTTTTAAAAGAATCTGGGAAAAAAATGTTTTACATTTTGGAAACAGACCTACAGGAAAAAACTGGAGAAGATACTACCATATTTTTTATCAGAAAAATATATTTGAAATGTTACTTGTTATTATTTTTCAAATTGGATTTCATACCAAAAAATCTAAAATAAATTTTTAAGATGTAAAATGATAATGCAGGTGACACAATCTTTTTAAAATGCTCATAAAGTGAAGAGAAATTATTGAAAATCATATTTTCCTCGATATTTTTTTTTTGGTCAAAAATGGCTGAGAACTTGAGAATTGTTACACTACAGTTTTATGCCAAAGATAGAATGATAGATTAGATGATAGAGACCCCATTTAATTTGGTTTGGGAACACTTTTCACACACTTGCTTGATTAGGTCCTTTAAAGAATAATTTCAATGAATATAAACAATTATTTTATTTTTCTAGGATAAAAGGATTTCTTGTACTGATGCCTTGTCTCATCCCTATTTGGAAGAGGGAAGACTCCGATATCATTCCTGTATGTGCTGCTGCTGTCAAACGACAACTGCGGGACGACATTATGTGTCTGATTTCGAACCCATTGCTCCTCATCCATTTGATGATTCATTTGAAAGAAACTTATCATCTGTACATCAAGTAAAAGGTAAATGTTTAAAAATTTATTTGAATTGATTAAAATAAATATCTGAAATATTTAATTTATCCATAAACATACGATATATGATTAACTGGCATTATCATATTGCAAACATTATAGAAATAACATTAGTAATCCAGTTGAATTTTGAAATTAAATACAGGTAACCCCCATATAACACGGCACTTCTATAGCACGGATTCACTCTGACACGGTTCGAGAATTGCGTAAAACCCTCGTACAACATGAAATGTAATAAATTTTTACATACTTAAGTAATAATAGTTCACGAAAATTATTATTTTTGTGAACTATTAGTACTTAAGTATGTAAATTTTTTTCTCGCCTTCTGTCGATACATGTGGTCCTTCTCGAAACTTGTTTCAGTGTTGCCAGCTCTCGACGCTTCTGCTTCTGATGTTGCCAAATGTTTTTCCCTTATTCCACACTCACTTTATTCTTCATAAGTGTTTAGCACTATATAAGGAAATTTATAAAGATCTTTTAACTAGAAGCAAGCAATCTAAAATTACATACTTTTTGCAAAAGGTAAAGCATGGATCTGAAGATAATGCAGAAAAATACTAAGAAAATAAGGATAACTTGCCAAAAAGAAAACGCTCTCGGTTAATAGTGCTTTTAGTGATGACGAAGAGAACATTGTTCAATTTATATTAATATGTATCACTTAAATATCATTATTAAAATTTTCTTATCTTAATTATGAAAATATAATAGCATGTTTTTTAATTTTTGGAACTTAACCCTCCTTTTCGTATTAGTTCTTTGTTTCGTATAACACAGATTTGCATAACATGGCAATTGTTTGGAATGTAACTACCATGTTATACGGGGGTTACCTGTATTAGTAAATACTCCAAAATATACTTGTCTCTTTTTATTGATTTAAAGTTTATTAATGATTAAAATAATTTTGTATTATGAAAGTTATGTTATCATTGCTTCATAATAATAATAATAATATAATTATTATTGGGTTATACTCGGTTCACACCAGTGGCTGTGTACTATGCTGGACCAGAGTCAAGGCATAGCATCCAAAATAAAACTAAAATTAAATAATTGTGTCAGTGTCTGTATTCAGGAATTTCCTAACAATATGGCATATATTCAATAAAGTGGCCTTCTGTAATATTATGTATGTATTTCTATTCAATCGTAATGTTCCCAGGCTTTTGTGTATTGTGTGTGGTATCACACCTGTACAGGAGAGAACAACAGGCACAATAAGCACCTTATCCATCCTCCACGGATGCCTTATTTCCTGGGCGAGTTCTGTGTACTTGCTAATTTTTTCAGTGCATGTGTTTTGTACATTGTGAGTGTTTGGAATCACTATGTCTATAATGTATGTGATTTTATTGAGTTTGTCAATGAGTGTGATGTTTGATCTGTTGTGATAAATTGTTTTATCTGTGATTATGGCTCTGTCGTAATACATTTTGTGCGTGTTATTTTCCAATACTGTCTGTGGAATATACTTGTAGTATGGTTCGTGGATGTCTGCCAATTTGTGTTTCTTTGCAAGCTCTTGGTGTATTATATTTGCTACTTGATTATGTCTGTGTAAATAATCTGTCTGTGCCAAGAGCTTGCAACCAGAAGTGATGTGTTGTATAGTTTCTGGCAAGATGTGACACTTTCTGCATGTGTCATTTGTGAGTGTTGTATCTTTGAGTATGTGTTTTCTGTAGTTTTTAGTATTTATGACCTGATCCTGTATGGCAATCATGAATCCTTCTGTCTCCCCAAAGAGGCATCCCCGATCTAACCAGCTGTTTGACGCAGTTTTGTCAACTTTATTATTATTATTATTATTATTATTATTATTAACAATAACAACAAGTAAAATGGCAAGGCCGTATTTGGGACAAGACGATGTCTCGGAGACTCACTACTAAGCAGAATCACTTTGATGCTCAAGGCTGGTCTCATTCTCATTCTCCAATCTTCTTTGGTATTGCTGGTTTTGAGCGTGATCTTTCAAACTTCGCTGGCCACGGCCAAGAGGCATTTTTGGTGAAATTAACCTATCTAATTTTGAAATTTCTCTCTGTTGCGTGTCGCCCGGGTTGAATTTTTGTCGGGCATCGTTTTTCCATTTCACCATCTACTTTCAAAAATGTTCCGATGATGAAACGAGATATCTCAGGTCAACTGGTCAAGGTCAACACGTGGCAACCAGAGATATGTCGGGAATAACACGGGATAGGTAAATGGGATTTTTTTCAAAGATTCGTTTGTCAAAATTTGATTTCTCATTTCCAACAAGCAATGCAAGTACAAATCTTGCACTTCTGCCTGTTTGTAGAGAGTGTCACCATTTTGAATTTTATTTTGACTCAGTTCTCAGTCCCCAAGTACCTACAAGTCTGGTTTTTTTGTGCGTGCATGATTTGGGCACCTAATACTCTGTGCCAAATTGCAACTCCTGACATGTACTCCTTCATACCTCTAAGCTGGTAACACAGCAGGTAGTACGATTTTATAAACAAGACATAGTCTTGTCAATAATAATGATTAAATGATGTAGATGAATTAATTAAATATGGAAGATTCTGGAAAAGAGCAGACTAGAACTGAATTTGAATCTACAACTCAGTGTGAAAAGTTTGTAGATTCAATATTTGCTTTGATTTTGCTTTTATTTTATTTATTGATTTAACTTTAGTATAAATTAAATTCATTAATAAATATCAATGTTAAGCTTCAGATATAACTACTTTTTACAAAATTGCTGCAATATTTAAAAAACTGGATGTAAATATAAAATAAACATTTTTGAAAAATCAAAAAAATCCAGCAAACAAGAAAATTTAATGACTAATAAATGTTTTCAACGATATTTATCTATCATCATCAAGTTAACATATTTGCAAGTAGAATATAAATTGGAATGTACAAATTAAAAAACAGATGGAACACTCTCCCATTGGCAGAGGACACAAGCATCGAGGATGATGTATCCATACTGTAAAGATTTTTGGTGAATTTCAAAATGGTCTCGCACATCTGAGATAGTTTATGGCAACCATTCTTTGTCTTTTTGTTGGCTTTGAAGATTTCCTATCTCTGTAGATGTTTAAGGTCAGTCCTATGGTCAGTTGGATGTAGGAAGTGGGCTTCCTGAAGTCAACATTCATAATGATTGGCATAAATTATAAGGACACTGAACTATCTCAGACATATGGAAATCCATTTTTGAAATTCACTAAAAAATCCTTATCATACAGCTACATCATCCTTGACACTTGCAATCTCCTTCTATGGGATTGTGTTCTATTTGTTTTAAAATTTATACATTTCAGTTAATATTTTATTTTTGAACATGTTAACCTGGTGATGAACTTTGGATATGGTTGAAATCATTTGTTAATTGTTAATTTTTCTTATTTGCTGGATTTTTTGGTGTTTTAGAAATGCTTATTTTATAATTACTTTTTAAGAGTTGAAATATAAAAAAAAAAAACCTTTCTGAAAATCTATCTTTAGAGGCTTAAAAGTCAAGTTTTTAAAAGTTAATCTAGAAATTTTTTAGACACAGAAAAAATACTACTATTAAAAAATTCATAATTTAAATTTTAAGCCTCTAAAAATGAATTTATACTCAAAAACAATTGATATTTTGTTTTTATGCATTTGTATCAATATATAATAAAGCACAATTATATATGAAGATTTTAATTTATTATAAGCAGTCAATCAGATTTCTTATATTTAGTTTTAAAATAAAAATTAAAATCAAATATATATTATGAAGTGTTAAAAGAAAAATGTAATAAGTATATTATATGAAAGATTATGAATTAATATTCTTATTCTCCAACAGATTGAAACTAAAAAAAAAATAGAATAAACTTTGAAAAACTGACTAGATATATGTTTATTATTCTATCAGATAAATGTTTAATTTAATATATAT